GATAGCCGGAGGAGATCAACTGGTCTGGGCAGAATAAGATTACGGCATAGCAACAGACCCCAACCCGGGGATTTGGCTAGTTCATGCTTATTGCTGCGGTTTATTGCAGCATTGCATGGCGGCCCCGGATCATTCTATGGGGTTGACATGTTTCTGCGGGGCCAGACGGGGCCCAAAGGCGTAAAAATGACTCGTCGGCTGGCTGGGGGTTCCTCGGATTCGTTTGATAACGGACGGGAAACATTCCCAGCCACCCGGCCCAAGATTCCGGTTCCGGCGATCCGCTCCATTAACAACGATATCGAACCAATTTACTCAAAGGTTTGACATGCATAACAGACGTACATAGTACGTTGGCAATCATACAGCGGGAACATGAGCTACGGTATGATTCAATGGGAGCCAAGGTGTGCCTCTTTCGGATAGGTAGCCGATTTCTTTGGGGCTTGGGTGCTTTGCTTGGAATGTCCCGATCTGGCACGATTGACTAAGACTCTCAATTCCAATGACAACTATCATTTGTGTTTACGGCATCCCACTGCTAGACTGTAGTTGAGCCTTTGTGTGGCTGTGCTCATATGAGGGAAGGTCCAAGGAGCCAGCGGCAGCTAAACGCGCACTACATATTAGCCGCATCTACACAAAGCATCTACAAAAAAGTCACAAAATTCTGCAGTTAAGATGTCATTTGTTTGTCATATTGATGACCATGGTCTCTTGGATCGATATCACTGAGGGGCTTTTCGGACATACTCCAGCTTGAATATTGCTGGTGCACATAAGCAGGAGAAGTGGACCATCGTGAGCATATGCAGACTGCATCCGGACTCGAAATTGAACAGCTCGTAGTAACTTCAGCAATGCATGCAATCACAATTTTCTCAAGAGGGTTTCTTATCTATTGATAAGCCTTAAAACTCCATAATTGTAGAGCAGACGATCGGGAACGTATTATTTCACTTGCCTCATCTAGGCTGTAGCTTGATTGTTGTCTAAGGTTTTATCAGAGGAATTCTTTGTTGCAGTTTATATCTTCTCCTTCTCCGATTTATTCGCATCAACACCGTTACTTGCCTCATGCCAGAAACGCTTTACTATTATACCCCAAGGCACGCTTCCATCACTCAAGGCGGGCGTGCTCGTCCGCAAAAGTTTGACAGAGTGAACTTGGGGATACGCGATTCCCAGACTGTGAGTTTTGATGTTATACGAAAATTGAAAAGGCGCCGAGCAGTGAGAGCGAGCGTGAGGCAATCTCAGAACAAATTAAAGAAGCTGGTTTTTACTACTGACTAAATCGGAACTTGCGAACTGCTGGTCAATTGTGACCTCGTTCGTTTCAATATCCCTGGAATGATCTGCCCTTTGCGCGGTATCTTCTCCTATAGCATTGAAGCTTCGGTTCTCGTCAACTCTAATTGACACTCCCGGTCTTGCAATAGGCAATCATCATTTCATTAGAGAACTCAGATAGATAAGACCAAACATACCATTGCAGCAACAATGTCACCCCGCAATTTGGAAATCGCGTTCAATGAGTTTGTAGACGTCAGAGGGGTTTGCTACTTGTCCTTGCATGAATGATGCTTTAGCTTGTACGACCAAACCGCTGTTCAAGTAAGAAAGGCGCTACGGGCAAGATCATTGTTCTCAAAGCTACTTGTGCAGCTCTCTGGCAGTGAGGAAGTCAAGTCACTCATTCTGACGCATCAACAATCAAAGCTGTAGAGTACTCAACCTTGGGGCACCCTAGCCTGTGTGACCACGCCGTCTCTCAGTGCCTGCAAGGGATTTTTCCGCTCAGATGTTTCCTTCCACCCGCCACGACATTGCGAAGTCCAACAAATTCTGACCATGACCTTCTCGTCATGTGGTCCGTATCGGGCTTCTCGAGGCACGATCTTCTCAGGTGGATAAATCAAAACTCAAAACTCAAGATTCGTGTGTTTGCATTCTAGCTTCCAATCTCATATGCGGCATATCAAGCGTGAAGTGGTTTACTAACCTAATTTGTACACCGTGATCTCACCTCTCTATACCTCACTTCACCTACGACTCCTCGTTGGGCTATCTAGGTGAGTCGCAATATCAACTTCGGAAAGGCACGACTCACCTACCGTCCAGGGCCAGCTCCTTCCTCCCTCGATGTAGACGTATATTCATCTGAAAATCTTTACGTTCACCGCTCTCTCACCGCTTTAGTTACCCAAAAAGGAAATAGAAGCAAGCAAGTCCCGTGATCTCCCTCTCCGCCGCCGGGCTACGCGAGTATCTTTCCTCAGCCTCCAACCACGCAGCCCTGATTTATGTTTTCTCCCTCCACAAACCAGAAGAAAGAACCACTTCACCGTCAGTGCCTCCTTGGACGAAGATTCCCTCCTCACTCCCTCACTCTTCCTCCCTCATCGACTCCTCATCTGGCCCTCTCTTTTCTCTCCATTCCCTAACATCCCAATCATTAATCATTGTGCGACTTGGCTTCCTTCAAATCTCCTTACGCAAAGCAAAAGTACAACCTCTAGACTGGAGACACCGTCTCGCGTCCCAAGTCTCACGATGCGAATAATTCTCGCGCCAGTCCTTGCCCTTGCGGCGATGGCTCTCTCGCGCGCCGTCCCCGAGCATACTGCTTCTGAGCACATTGGTCTCGAGCAGATCCGCGCTGAGGTTCCTGCTCCTGTCGCGGAGTACAGCACTATCGCTTACAAGGCAGCTAACGGCTCTGATGTCGTGATCCACGTCGCTCCTGGCGTGTTCATGGCTGACGACGTCTCGAAGCTCCCCGACGATATTGGCAAGCACTTCAAGATCAAGACGGCGCCTAAGCTTATGGAGCTTTGCACCGTCCGTGCCAGTCAGAAGGATAATGACAACAAAGGCACTCCTCGTCGCGATGATTGCCAGGCCCTCTACGATTTCTGTCACAGCCACCCCGTCTTCTTCTACTTCGACAACAAGATCGACCTCAACCGCTGGGCCGAGGTCGCCTTTGTAGGTTCCTGCGCCTACCGCACTCGCACCGTCCACCACAACGTCGTCTTTTCAAGTGGCGACATGGCCAACTTCCTCGACATATCTCTGAGCCGCAAGGCCTGGACCGACAAGGGACGCATGTCTGCTTCTGGTGAGGCTGAATGCACTGTCTATGAAGGCGATTTGGGCATTGCTCCTGTGTACTGGAGACTTCAACAGCGCGGCCCTCTCGATGAACCAACCTTCAATCTGGGCAACGATACCTTCATTCCGAACAACAACAGCACCGCCCTTAAGATTCGCGACACCGAGCATGAGGCGCCTCTCATTGTCCAGTCCTTCGACGACATCCCCAGAAACACCTCCGCCTTTAGTTCCGGTCGTGGGAATGCCCACACTGTCACTGACACCGACATCGGTATCCCCTCCAAGAAGGACGACGAACCCCAATTCGACTTGACAATCGGTGGTCCAAAGGAAGGTCCCTACTGCGATGCCATGTGGCTTTCCGCGGATTGGCAAGAGTCTGGTCGTCCCCTCAGAAGGGACTGTGGGAAGCTTCTCGACTTCCTCAAGTCCAACACAGCCAAGGTCGCAGTGTTTGGCGACCAATACTACGAACTGGTTCCGATCGCCGCCCACGACACTTGTGCCATCGGCTTCCGTCCCCTGACCACCGACAACGTCACGTTCACCGGCTTCGATATCGCTAGCTTCCTTGAGCGTATGCTTCTTTGGGACGGAGCTCAATCCGGATCTGACTACATCCTTGGTAAGATGGGCGCTATGTGTGGCTTTGCGAAGGAGACTCACTTGAAGCACATGGGCGAGTTCCATCTCATCTACAGAGACAGCAATGCGCCGAAGGGCCACATCCCCAGAGACTACGAGGAAGGCAAGCGGGATCTCATTTCTGCCGTTACCGTCCCAGAGATCGCCGAGAAAGGTGCGATGATGGTCAAGTCTGGATCTCCCGAAGACATGGCTGCTACAGCAGAAATGGCCATGATCCTTAGCAACACGGATGACTCACTGAACTGGGTCGATTATACCGTCACCGACAGCAACGGCGTCAACATCACAGCCCAGCTCAACGACAACTTCCTCAGCACTCATCTCGCTGACAGCAAGGCACTTGGCACCAGACTGGAGAGACACGACACGCCCCTTGGCCCTTCCAAGCGGTGCACCGGCCGGATCACGTTCTGGGGCGGCGCCAAGCCCGACTCGCCCCTCATCGCCGACTGTGTGAAGCTCCGCAACTTCATGTCTATCCGCCGCTTCCGCTTCCAATTCAGCAGAGACGAGTTCCGAAGCACCAATGCCACCCTCCTTGCCCAAGTTGGAACCTGCCGTATCGCTTGGTTGCCTTGGGGCCAGGATACCACCGTCGGCAACATGGACCTCGACATCCTCTTCACCAAGGCCTTCAAGCTGTACGACCCCAGCCAGACCCGAATGCGTCTCTGGGGCGGAGAGCACTGCGACTTCTCTTGGCAGTTTGGTGAGAAGTATGCCCAAAAGTTCTACATCTTCTGAAAGCTGTAGGTCGACAGTAATGAATCAGAATTGCATACGGTCGAAAGTTAGCCTGGCTCTGTTTGCTCTTGGTTGGCCATAGGATTTGCGTAAGATGATCAAATGGATTGACGAATCAGGACATGCGGCTCTATGCCATAATACATGGAGTTCCGATAGATGAGATAGGAGATAGCCCTAATAATCCATTGACTTCCCGCGAGTACATTCAGATATCGTCCACGATGACTGGTTTGCTTGAGATGTTGTGGGTGTGGACCCTTCGGAACTTTCTCGCTCAATCAAATTATCGTGGCTCGACGGCCCACGTGATGGGATGCCTGAATCCTACAGGATCACTCGATGGCAACATACAACAGCCAACTGACCGCAGCCCGTCTAGATTTGGTGAAGAAAGAACTTTGATAATAATTTTTCTCAAGTTAGCGACCATTCTTGAGTCATTGCCAAAAATTCGGCGTCGCGATTCCGCTGTCGCTAGGTTCACGATGGCTCCTGATATCTTGCCCAACTTTGCTAGAGTGTGAGTGACCTTCCACTGAGTTTCATCCATATGCTACTGCTACCGTCTTTCCCAAACTCCCCATCCGTCGTCGCCCGGATGATTGTAATCTTGTGGATGATGACAACGACAAGCTACCGGGATATGAAAAGGGGACTACCTACAGATGACTACTCAGAAAATGACATCCCCTTCTCTACAATTTACTAACTAAAGTCATTCAGAGCCCTTAGTATCCTAAGCCTCATCTCATTTACACCGCAATACCACCGACTCCGTGAACAAGGCCACTGTAACGGCCTTTCGCTCTACTACGTGCTCTTCAACCTCCTGAGCGCCACAGAACAGCTCACCATTGGTCTCTTTCTCAACATCAACAATAGCGCATCTCTGCGGCCCGACGCCTTTGTTAATACCCCAGCTACAGCGGGAGACTGGCTCAATCTCAGCCAGTTGATGATTGTCTGGCTTTGTTCTATCTACTTGTGAGGATCCTGAAGATTGAAAAGCGATTGCAAACCTGTCTATGAGCTTGGGCTTACCCCTGTCCCCCTAGGTTCGCTCTGTCTATTCGGCATGCGTCTCAAAGCCACGAAAGAAGAATCCAAAGAGGAGCCGCCATCACAATCTTCGTCATCTTTCTTTCCTTCAGCATCATTCCAGTCCTCATAGACGCCAGTCTGCCATCATCCCGATCCGAACCACGTCGATGGACCCAGGATATCTTCGCTTTACTCCATTACGTCCTCCTCATCCCACTGTCCACCGCATTCATCATCGTCGCCGCCATTGCACAAGCACGCGAGATACGCTCTCGAGGTGGCGACGCAGGCGCCCTTAGTCTTCCTGGTCTCACTTTCCAATGCATCACCTTTACTCTCGTGGCGATATCCTGGGTTTTTCGCGTCAAGTACCCGCCGTACTCGCCGTCTTGGGTCGAGTGGTATCGGTTGATTGGATGGACTGTAGTGAATGATAGTCTTATTGGATGTGTGCGAGGTTTCCTGCTGGTGATAGCCCTGCGCGAAGGCATGGATGAAGGATGGGGGTCATTTGAGAGACAGCCTTTCTTGGGTTTGTCGTGAAAATCCCGTCGCGAATCGGTACTCTCATATTATCAACCGTCTTGGGGTTCGAGAAGACGAGTTGACATGGTCATTGAGGTCCAGCCCTCACATACTCATCCTCATGATCCTCAAACATCATCAAAATCTCAAAAGTTCTCCATCCCCGCGGATCCTGCACAGAGCTTTGATTTTCCATGGTCATCCTACGCGACTCTTGGCGTGCTAGGGTGTTTGTTTCCGCAAGTTAAACAAAGCCTGGCTGACTTTTGTTTCCAACCCCTCAGTTGCAAGTCCCCGCGCAACGTCTTGGCTAAAAGTCACCTTCCGAATAGAGATGCTCTTGGCGCATCATCGACTCGGCGCATTTGAGATGACATTCAAATAATGTTTTCACATCTTTCAAGACATTATCTCTCTCCGTCGGAACTCTCGGCTTTACATTCACCATGCCTAATGAGGAAACAACGAAGTAGGCCTCGAGCTGCACAAGCCGCGACAGAGATGATAGAGAAAAACCGATACCGTCCTGGAAGTTTGGACGAGCTGACAGCCAAGTGAACAGTCCCTCGCCTTGTCAGCACAGACGTTGGTCTTGGATAGATACCGCCGCGGTGATTGGTCAATGGCTCTACAGAGCTGCAGATCTACCTTCACGGATGGTCCGAGGAACTTTTTACGCCCTACTAACTCAAAAGTCCTTTTGTTGGCTTCCCTTCAGCTTTTATGGCGCTCAACTCACCGCCAACGAGCGAGCTAAGCTTTCCATAATTTCCAGCTTCCCGTTATAGTTCTCGGCATACATGAGATTGAGTTGCGCCGCTCTTGGGACCATTGCCCCAGTTGCGCTTGAATTCAATTACCCCTCAACTGGAGTCACTTCTCTGCCGAGCTCCAAGTGTTGTTCCGTACGGATGTCAGCAGTCGTGACATCCTTGTAACATGCCGCTTGGTGAGGAGATGAGCTACAGCATCTCATTGATGCATCGACCCACCGCCTCGGAAGACTGGGCAAGTATATAAGGGCCTAGACAACCTAGTTTGACCCATTACAGGAGGACTTTATTTAAGTGTTCATCGTCATCAGCTGCGGAGCCTTGCTGTCATCATGCGCCTGACTCCTCTCCTCGCGGCCCTTGCCGCCTCCTCGGCCGCCGGCTCGTTTGTCGAGCCTCGTGACCCGAACAAGTTGTTCACTCTGGAAATTGCTCCAGGCCAGACAGTCACCGTCACAGAAGAGGAGAAATGGGAGATGATGGATGTGGGTGACCACCATTCTTCATTCCCGCAAGCGCAGCTAACACTTCTAGAAACGCGTCCACTTCTTCGACATCACAGAATGGTCAGATGTCCCCGCCGTCGCCTCCTCCGCAGACTTCAAGCTTCTCGCCGCCCTTCCCTTCCCAACGCAGATGAATCAGACATGCCACGTCAACGCCCTGATTCCGAAGCTGAACAAGGACAACATGCGCGCGCATCTCGAGCGCTTCTCGTCCTTCCACAACCGATACTACCTCTCCAAGACGGGCGTTGAGTCTGCAGAGTGGCTGTATGGCCAGATTAGTGCCGTCTTGGATGTTGCGGGACACCCTACGGCCAATATCCGCTACGTGCGTCATACCGCGTGGTCGCAGCCCAGTATTATTGTTACGATTCCCGGGCGCAACCAGCGGACTGTTGTCTTGGGTGGACATCTTGATTCTGTCATTTCTGGAGATCGTGGCGCGGGCCGTGCGCCTGGTGCTGGTAAGTTCCAAACTCTCGATGCCAATGCTTCACAATCGATGGCGGAGAAGAGACTACTAATGCCACTGTACCAGATGACAACGGCTCCGGATCCGTGATGATTCTCGAGGTTCTTCGTGTCCTCCTCTCCGATCCGAAGATCGCGTCTGGTGACATCCTGAACACCCTAGAGTTCCACTGGTACGGCGCCGAAGAGGCCGGCCTTCTTGGAAGCCAGGATATCTTCACCCAGTACCGTGCCTCTAACCGTCAGGTCGTGTCAATGCTGCAGCAAGACATGGTTGGCTATGTCGGTCGCGATGGCGTCGAGAGGTTCGGAGTGGTTACGGACTGGGTAGACCTCGACCAGGTTGCGTTCATGAAGCGCGTCATTGACACTGTGAGTCACTTTTTGTCTTTTATACTCTTATAACCTGTCTCCATGATAAGAATTCAAAGATGTGCAAGCGCTGATCCACGTCTTTTTCAGTACACCGATATCCCTTACGAGGAGACCGTCTGTGGATATGCCTGCTCCGACCACGCGTCTGCCAACCGCAATGGCTATCCGTCGTCATTCATCTTTGAGACACCTTTTGGCAACCATAACCCGTACATTCACAGTCCAAACGACACGATGGAGCATGTCTCGTTCGATCACGTCGTGCAGCACGCGAGGATGGCGACCGGATATGTGTACGAGCTGGCGTACTGGCCCTTTGCATAATGTTCAAGTTGGGCAACCATCGAACGAATGCCTCGAAGGCGTCGGATCTTCTTAGGACGTTGAGGCATGATGAAGATTTTGCCTAGGTGATGACGCATGTAGGGCAGAGAAATCAATACTGATAAGTGCAATTTAGTCACAGACTCGATCAATTCGCAAAGGCAAATTTTCTGATGATGGGACTCGAAATCATGAAGTTCACCATCACAGGTCGTGACTGAAACGGTCTGACCAAGATCGAAAGCCAAAAGAAATGAGCTATTTATGGCATTATGTAGGACCACCAATTTCGAGCTCGCAACCTTTGCAGGACCCAATTATGCGTTAATACTTCCTCCACTAGATCATGTACACTTCAGACGCCGCTCATGCCTTCTTCTCACAATTTTCGTCCTACGGCCTTGGCCAGGTAATTGGGCGGCAGGTGTATATTCGTGCGTGTTCAGTGTGACCAACGGTGCCTCAGCTCCCCTTCGTAACCTGCCTTGCTCAGCCACGAGGCATGAGTAGCTTTCTCTATTATGCAGCACTTTGGGTTCTCTGCCATTCAGGTAGTATAAGATGATTTCGGAAAAGTCGAGGTTGAGGCAGGAGGTCATCAGAATCATAATTTTGAGACTGAGTCAGAGTCAACTTGTCTTATTCACTGATGTATTTAAGGACAAAGAAAGCATGCTAGCATCCTCCAGTGAATCCAATCCGAATGCCCTTATTTGGGGCAGCCAATACCCCAGCCGGTGGTAGTGGAGCAGCAGTCGGCATCCTGTGATATTAAGTGTGAGTACTTATCCATATAGAACCCGCCTCCTTTGAGGAGAAAAACTTACGCAAGTCTTGGTAATCGGGTTGCCTCCGAGCATGACATTCTCGCAGAAGCTGGCACTCTGCTCAGCGCAGTAAGCGGCGCTGGTGCCACGGGCAGTGCCGCCCTTGTTCTGGTTGGTGCAAGCCTTCTGGCCCTTGCCCCAGCAGCAGTTGTCGAGGACGGCTTCGCCGTTCAACCAGCTGTAGATGCGGCACTGTATTGGCTATTAGTAGCTGGGACAAGACATGGTTTCACTGAAGTGAAAGACTCACAGAGGCGGCGAGAGTGCCGGAGGTGTAGGCAAGGCCGATGAGAGCGATCTTGGAGAACTGCATGATGGAAGATTTGAAAAGGTTGAAAGTTGCGAAGTTGAAAACGAAGTAAGTGAGAGTAAGATTGTTGAGAGAGTGTGTTGATAGTGAGAGACTGTGAGTTGACTGTGTGAGTGTGGTGATGAGAATAGTTGGATTGTATGGGAGTTTGTCACTTACTTTATACCAAGTGAAATGCCACAGTTGATACTCGAAGACGGCATCGCCGGCTCATGGAATGAGTATGTGTATGATTCGGTTTCGGATTCGAGAACAGACCATTCATGATGGTCTCTAAAAGAACGCTACAGACTCTACGGAATAATCAAAGAAGCGCAAAATGCAATCAATACGGCGCGTCTCAAAGTAAGCCTACAAACCTAACATAATGGGGTAGGCAAGTAGAGTCTGTAGGCCAAAGATTCAAAGCCGCTAGTGTAAGGCGGCTGAGCTGTATCAAAGGGTAAAAGCGCCCCACAGGCTGCACGGATGACAACAAGTCACAATATATTCGCAAAAAACCATTTACAAGTGAGCGTCTAGGCAAGTACTCAAGCCGAGTCAGTCTCATTAGATGAACTCGGAAGCCGATCATGTCCGTCTTGAGTTGATTGACAGCGCATACCAAGGCGGCTATGCGGGGATGCCGAGCAGGAGGTGGGATGCCTAGCCGTATCCTCACAAGTAAAGACGAACTGGATCTTCAAGTCAGTCCAAACTTTGTTCGTCTAGTAACGTGGCTGAGATGATAGAAATGTTGAAATTGCCTATTTAGGACACGTAAATCGAACGATTGGACCCCCGCTTAGTTATCACGGAGCCATGACTCGACTACTGCTTGGGCATCCGAAACCGACCATGACACGGCATTCTATGTAGATGCGAGTTGAATTTGCCTCACGGGATCTGCACTTTAGACGGCAGACCAAGGTAGAAAGAACAAACGTATTCATTAATAGCTCATACTCGGGCCTTCTGGTGGCTCGACAAGTCGTCGCAGGGCTCGCAAATGCCCCACCATCTGGCCAGAGCTTCGGCACATCACCGTAGCTTGACTAGATATCCCTGACAATTGTCTCTTGACTTCAGATCGCATCTTCAGACGAATTTGGGATACCAACTTATCAAGCTTTTGTGATGGAACGAGGCTAAGCATCCATCGTCTTTACCGTGGTTGTGTTGGCCTAAGAGAATCCCGACTGAGCCATAGCGTCACGATCTGAGTGTCTTTTCCAGATTTTGGAGATGAACTTGTAAACTGCGTACCTTAGTGCTTTACGATGAAGAGATACCCTCGTGTATATAAGTCATCGACTTGACTCTCCTTTCACCATCTACTTTCCTAACTCATCACTCACAATCATTACAACACAGTCAAACTCGACACATCTCACTCACAGTCTCTCACTACTACAAGATTTCTTATATCTTCACTTTTTCACCCATTTTTCAA